GTTCTGCTGGCGTATATTCGATATTCTTCATCAACAACACAATTCAAATTGTTGTTTTCCTTTTGTCTTCCATTTTCATTGTGCAATTGTCACACATACATTTTACCAAAATCAAACTCACTGCCGTTGAATCAGGGCCAAACTCACAGCGACCTGACTCTATAAGACAAGGTAGAACTACCCTTGTGAGTTTCCAAGACGTTAACTGTACAGTAATAGAAAGTCCCACCTTTCTGCCAAGATGCTGATGCCAGTGACTTCAATCTGCTTACCTTGTGGATGGCAGCCCAGTGTGTAGCCACTGGATCAAGTGCACCTCAGTCATCAAACTGACATCTGTGATTTTTAACACTTTAAAGATTTTTTTGAAGATTTGTAGAATAAATAATTTCTTAACTACTGATTCTATTGGCATTGGCTTTTAAAAATAGTTTTATTGGCATATAATTCACACATTATACAATTTAATCTTTGAATCATATTAAGAAGAGTTGTGCAATCATCAACACAATCAATTTCAGAATATTTTCTTCTCATACTCATTGTTGACCCCCCCTTTTCCCCCATCCACCCCTGCTATGTATAGCTTGTATAACATTTTCTACTTTTCAATTTCTATTCCTTAGAATAGACCTCATTTCTGCCATATATAATATGTTTCAAAGAGATACTGAACTTTATATCCTAGAATGTTGCAACAGCAAATAGTATATACCAACCTATAAAGAAACAAAGAACAGTAATTTAAAGCCAAGATGTATTTTTGTCATTTTAACTGAAAATTTTTCTAGGCACCATCAAATAAGCTTAAATGAATAATAGTGCTGAAAAATGCAGTGATTCCATGATATATAAGAGGGAATTATTGATTGTCTAGTCAAGAAAAATGAAATCATTGACAACTTTACTTCCTTCACCATTTATGATGGTGTTGTTTATTGGTCCTGTTGTAAGAATTTTTATTTTATTTATGTCCAGGCATGACCAATGTTTATACTGAACATGTTTTAGCTACATCAGAAAAGGTTTTTGGCTTTATTTAATTTCCGTAAGCCAAGTTCTGGCATTTGTATATGAGTCTTCTACAAGTCTGAATATAGTGTTCTTCATGGAGCCCAGCTTTTAGATTATGTGTTCAGCATATAGGAGGGAGTACCAAAAAAATCCCAGAATATATATA